AGGGTCGTTGAAAGGGCAACAAACCGACGTCAGCGGTCGACCGTCTAACGAACAAGCTCGTCGACAGAAGAAAGACCGGTGGAAGATTTGTGCACCAACGTGCGAGGCATGACGACAAACGAAGAAAACGACGAACTTCTGCAATCAAACTGTCCTCGTCGAAAGCAGCGGCGGCTGGGAATAGCATTCGAATTTCGGACCGTTGTCGACGATCGCCCGCCGCAACAGACCACACGGCGCGAGCCGCCGAATCGCATAGACGGACGGAGGCCTCACGCGGACGGTGACCGTTTGGAGCCGTTGGGGCGCCGTACGCATTTTCGAGGCAAGGATGTCCGTGCTCCCGTTCGCTGGACCACGTCTGAACCAACCTCGAACCGAAATTGTGCGTCGACGCATGCCTTCACCGCTCCGAATTCCGCGCTTCCTTGTGCTCCGAGGGACATCGGGAGGTCCCTTAGGGGTAAGGAAAAAATGGCTCTGGCCACAAGGACGCCACCAGGAAATTTCCTTGTGGTGTTTTCACTTTTTTTTTTTAGAATCGTCCCTAAGGACAGGTGGAACATTCATTTCCTTGTGGATTTCGGGTCCACAAGGAGTGTCTAACGAGGCCCATACATTACATCTCGGTTAGGGTTTCATGGGTGGCTGTACATTTACAGAGATAGGGTGGATCAGATGCATAGGGTTATAGGGACGTTGCACCCAATTTCCAGCAGACTCATTCACATCTTTGTACATAGGGTTTTGTGTTTAAACCACAGGTCTTCCCGCCACCGAAAACCCTCGGTACCGGTGTTTTTTTTTTTTTTTGGGTCCGCATTCGGCCCGAACAGCCGAACGCATCCCCAAGGGGTACCATACGTTCGGGCATTCGGCCCGGCCCAGCCCGCGTCCCGGAGTGTTTTCATTTTTATATAACCATGAATGGATATATATATATTATAGTATAAATATAATCTATTTGACGATATATATATATATATGTATATATGGTCACAATCAGAACTGCCCGGTAAACCGCAAGCAGAGAGAAAAGAGGACAACAAACGAGGTGTTGTGACAAACTATATATATATATATATATATGCCTACGGTTTACCGGGCAGTTCTGTTTGTGACGATATATATATATGTATATATATATATATATATATATATATATATTTATATATATATGTTCATGTTTTTTTTTTTCTCATCCCGGAGTGTTTTCATTTTTATATAAGCATGAATGTGTACATATACCAAAATAAAAGGATATTGTGGTTCTGGTAAATGTTGCGAATGCCATGTACCTATATCAGATCCATAGAAGCAAACTTTGAACGTAGCTATACATAAAAAAGTGACTCTATATATATATATATATATATATATATATATATATATATATATATATATATATATATATATATATATATATATATATATA